AGTTTATCAACTGGCCACATGTCTGAGAATTACCAGAGGAAAAAGGGCTTTCTCCATAGTAGCCCTTAAAGGGAAACTTGTGGCATTACACTTCCATGGGGACTAAAATCCCTGGCTATATAGTCCTACCAAATTCCCCTTCTAAATTGTCCACAACGGCTTTTGCTATTTCTAGCTGCAACAAATACAAAAGCAGCTAGGAAAAACAGTAATGACCTCCAGACAGCAAAATCCAGAGCAAAGGCTGTCCTTAAAGGACACCAGGAAGAAAAGTTACTCTGGGTAATCTAAGTACACTTGCTGAGGCAAATCTTCCTTATTGTAAAATGATTTGCATAAAAACCAGGTGCTCTCAGAAAAAGATCTATTTCTTCATCCATTATGCTTATTCTACAAATAAGCACCTTAGTCAGCTACCGGTAAGAGACTAAGTTAATAAAAAAGGAAAATATCAAGTAAACATGATACCGACACTCTTGCCTAAACAATATCTGCACTGCCTTCTTTCCACTCTCCAAAAATCACATACTTGAATAGCTAAACATCAGATGCATAAAATCTAAACTAATTCCTACTGTAGGTTTTAAAATTCAACAAACAAATCTAAAGAACATTGTGCACTTATTTTGCAATGCCTTGTTTTTTTCTTTTTATTATCACTAAATAATAAACCCTGTGGCTTCCCTCCTGCCCAGACCCTGCACCCCCAGTCCACTCCCTCATCCTTCCACTCAGCTGGCCCTCCCAACCCACTCCTGCACCCTCTCTCTCGCCCAGATGCTGCACCTCAAGCTTGCGTCCTGTCAGCCCTCTCCCACACAATGACCACCTCATTTTTGGCCACACACCAGAATATAGGGGGGCCCACAACCTACTAGTCTTGGCCCCTGCAGTCTTTTTGCTTCTCCCTTTTGTGCAGACTGATTATTCTGTGGGTTAGTGGCCTCTAACCCAAAAAGGTTTCCCTGCTCCTGCTTTAGGATTTCAAGCTGCACAGCTTGCTGGGAAAAGCACTGTGAAGATCAATCACACAGCAGCAGAAAGCTTTGTCTCTGATTTGAAAATGCTGCTGCCCCTCTCCCACAAACATGGCAGCCTAAACTAAGGTTCCTAATCTAGTCAGCTGCCTTCCAAAGGCCTGGATCCCCACAACCCTCACTCACTTAGTTCCTGAAATTGCCTGTGTTACCAAGTCCAAGTATTCCAATTAAGAGACTTAAACTTCTGAAACTCTCAAAAGTACTAATGCTCAGGCTTGTTGTATTACTGGGCTGGCTGCTGTCAGAGCTATTGATGTGCACTTGGGTCACATTTCCATGCTCTCCTCTGCAATCTTGGGAGCTAAAAACATCCCTTGGCCATTTAAACAGGGCTCTCAGCTGTTCACCCCTAGGCAAAGGTTTCAAGACACACCTCAGATAGGGGTGAAATAAACCAGCCATCAGCACAAGGAGGCATGCCCGCCCTGCTTTGGGAGAAAGCCTTAACCCAGTGACTCACTAGGGTGAAATAAACCAGCCATCAGCACAAGGAGGCATGCCTGCCCTGCTTTGGGAGAAAGCTAGTGAGTCACTGGGTTAAGGCTATGGGGCCAGCAGGGTTTCTCCCCTCAGCAGAAGTGTTGGTACATTTTGCATAGGGCGTGTGCTGAGCCATTGAACTGAACCCTGTATGATAAAACCACTTCAAGCTGGGGGTGCAGTAGCCCCCAGAACTCATAGATCCAGCACCTCTGGCCTTTGCTGCCCATAGAATGCTGGCTTTGAGGCCTGGCACCAGTATGTGTGTGGGGGGAAAGGTGTGTGGTGTACTTCTCCCCCAATGTGTGCAGCAGCCCCCAGGACCCATGGCAGATAAAGGGGGTGTTAGGTACCACACACTGTGTGGGGAGGAACCCCTTCTCCAGTGTATGGGTGGAGAGAAAAGGGGTGTTGGTACCCCTCCCCTCAGTGAGTGTGTGGGTAGGGGAAATGGGGCATCGTGTGCCCCTTCCTCAGTGTGGGGGGGAAGGGATTTCATTTGCCCCTCCCCCCCTGTGTGGGGGGGAATGGTGTCATGACCCCCTCCCCCGTGTGTGTGGGGGGGAATGGGGTGTCATGGGCCCCCCCCGTGTGTGGGGGGAGAGAGAATGGGGCGTCATGGGCCCCTCCCCCCGTGTGGGGGGGAATGGGGTGTCATGGGCCCCTCCCCCGTGTGGGGGG